AAGTACGATAGCTAAGAAGTGTAGACAGTTTTTTGAAATATGCAAGTCATTCAATCAATGAATTCATTTTATAATGTAGTTATTGTTTTTGAATGAATGTATATATGAATGTTATCTAATAGTGATAAATTTTGGGAATAAATTTACGTAATTTAAAACGTATTTTGTATTATACTAAGTTGGTAACCCGGTAGACAAAGACGAAATAAATGGGTAGATACGAATCTCTCCCAACTTTACCCTAAATATGTTACAACCTCATTTTATTAAAAAAAAATAATTCCCTCTCTCAGTTTTAGATTCATTTTTGTACATCGTATAAGCTTTTGTATTCGTCATCCTCATCATCAGCCTATATGTGCCCATTGTCGAGCACGGGCCACTCCTCACACGAAGAAAGTTTAAGTATAACTTATTAAGCTTGGACAAGGCAGACTGACATCACAAACTTTCCTGTAATTGCATTAAAGGGAGCTGTATTTCTTTCCTTTTTATATGTAGATTAAGAGTTTATCTAAATCATTTACTAAACAACGATGTGTAATTTATCCTTCACTGTAGCGATTCCACTGAACTGCCTCATTGATATCTATCTGGCTTGAAATAACACCTGCTTTGTGCTACAGATGGCGTTGATTACTAGCCATCAAAATAAAAAAAGTATCCTATTCAGCACATTCAAAGACAAACATTCCTATATTATTTTTTATTCTCGATCCATAAATCCAAACAGATTTTGATTCCATATTTAAATTAAATGTAATTTAATGCTAATCGAAATAAATTGTATTATTATTTTATTAAACGTAAAATTTAAAACATCTATCCAACAGAACGAAATCACCAAACCACTGTTATTCTAAAACAATCATTATGACCACCTACATTTTGAGTGCAAAATCCTTCACAACGATCACGTCAAAAGATTTTGTCCTCCCATTAGTTATTACGAAAGTCGACGATAACTGAATCTCCGTTTTGGTGTGAAATATGGCGGCCACGATAAATCTTCACGTGAATAGGAACCCAGAATTTGATATGGGGGCTCGTTGGTAACTCATTTGGGATTAAAAATATTATTATAACAGTATTTTTGGATTGTACAAAGAGAATCCAGGTAATTATAAAATTATCTTAAAGTATGTTTTATTATAATCAATACCTACTCGTATTAAGTGTGGGAGAGCTATGCTTCGGCACGAATGGGTCGGCTCGACCGGAGTGATACCACGGCTTCACAAAAAACCGGCGTGAAACAACCACAGCGTTGTGTTTCGCCGTGTGAGTGAGGTTACCAGAGGCCCAATCCCTCCCCCTCTCCCTATTCCTTACCCTATCCTTAAATATCCGAAAAACTTATTATTATACCCTAAAAGGCCAGCAAAGCGCTCGTTACTGCTTTGGTATTGGGTAATGCAACTCGTTTGCTGAGCATAAAAAAAGAAATAACTGTCAACTGGCCACTTGTCTCTGGACAAGATATTTATAAATTGTTCAAAGTTTGCAAAAAAAATACAAAAATAATAATAATAGTAGCACTCTAATGCCAAAGGGGTTCTTAAAAATTTATAGAGCTTTGTAAAATAATGTATTATTAATCAAAAAAATGTTCAAGAAATATTATATTCGAACAAAAAATTTGACCAATCTCTATACGGGACAATATTGCGCAACATTATGTAATTTTTTAAAACAAGACATTTATTTATAACGATCATTATCTCTTATAAATTTTGCTCTGTAACGTTTATAACATTCCAATATCATAATATTGTGCAATACTCCTAACAATAAAAACTGTTCTGATTTGTTTTAAGAACTTGAGGCAGCACATCAAAATACTCTTAAAATACCAAAATTCTACAATCCATTTACGACTTTGACATAAAGGTCAAAAGAGTTAAAATCAATTGAAAATACATTTAAACATGAGATAGAAAATATTTTATCTGAAGATATTGAACTGATTAAAAACCAGACGATTACAATCTTATTGACATATAGACGGATTATAAAAATGCGTAATAATTGTTTATTATCTTTTTTATGTCACAGAGCGACAACGGACAGACAGATATGACTTGCAGGTAAGCACAATCGGCGCTCCGATAGAGGCCCGCAACATCAGAGGAGTTACGAGAGCGTAGCGTGCATCCGCAGCCGACCTGATTTAGCAGACAGTACCCGTTCACAAGTATCAACTTACTTATTTACCGGAGGCCCAATCCTTCCCCTCGCCGGATCCCCCCCAATCCTAGAATATCAAAATTGCTCACCCCCAAAAGGTTGGAAACGTACTCGGAACTCTTCCGTTGTCGTGTGTCCATGTGCAACGCTGATTGCTTACCATCAGGTAATCCCTCAGCTCGTTTTCATCGTCGTGACAATGATTTGACCCCATCAGAGCTAAACATAGTATCCGCGCCTTAAAGAGCCATCAGACCACCATAGAATAAGGTACCGCGGCCTCGGCTTAGATCAGGTGAAGCAACAGACACAGGGTTTTTAGTCAGTAAGAGTCTAACACTTAAGATACACAACATATTTTAAGTGTGGGAGAGCCATGCTTTGGCATGAATGGGTCCACTCGACCGGAGTGATACCACGGCTTCACAGAAAACCGGCGTGAAACAACCTCAGCGTTGTTTTTCGCCGCGTGAGTAAAGTTACTGGAAGCCCAATCCTTCCCCTCCCCCAATTCCTCCCTAAATCTCCAAATCCCTAACCCTTAAAGAACCCTAGGCGAGAGAAGTCATTAGACGATTTTACATTCCCAAAAAAAAAAAAAATACCACTACGGATGGGGCCAATTCCAACCAGATTTGTGAGTGTAAGTGCAACAATGGAGCGAGTGGAACTAAACTTTTAGTCAATAAGAGTGTCACACTCTCTTTCGCTTCGCCCAGGGCAAGAGCAGTCAATTGCTGATTTTTAGTCCTCAAAAAGAAGTGGATTATGTGTATATTAAACAATTATTATGTGCATTTAACCCAACGTTTGCTGGACCAAAAGATTATATACTAATTATGTTTTACCAGACTGGATATTAATAATGTAGCATTTGTAAATGTTCTTTCAATACTGGCATTGTCTTTCGTCGATAAACTACTTTAATAAGTAGATGTTTGTGTATCAGCAAATTGAGGCTAATATTTGTGGCAACTGTAGTGTGTGTCGGTGTGGGTCCAATTAAATTTGCATGGGTCTCCAAACATACATTCGACGAAATTCATGTTGAGTCATGACCCATTTTGAGCATAAATCGTGCTTGCTCTTAAGACACTTAAATACTAAACAACCTATGTTAATAGGGGTTAGGAACGAATGTGGCCTGTGTCCATAAGCAAGAGACACATGTTTATCAGTTTTTTACCTAGGTTGATAACTGGTTAATGTTTCAGAGTGGGAGTTTTCAGGTGGGGTTACCCCTGCAATTGTAATGTTTTATTATCGGCCAGAGGGGTGTCCTGAAATGTTTTCAGGTAGGGTTGTCCCTGCAATTGTAATGTTTTATTATCGGCACAGAAGTAAAAGACCTCTTGATTTTTAGGACGTGAGAAGCAAGACAAAAAATCGTTTAAAAAATAGTTGAAAAAACGTATGATGGTAAGTTGTAGTTGCATGTTAGTACAAAAATCACATTTACTTAAATTCAAAGTAAGTGCAATATTTTAAGAAAAAATAATCGTTAACTGGTTAGTAATCGTAAATCGTGAATTTTACAATGTACATCATGGTTATACAAAATAGTGCGCCTTACTAAATTCCATTAGCAATATTGGTCAAGCATGATAATGTATCGTGGCCTTAGACTGGAGCAGGATAAGAAACGCGGTGATTATGGGTCAGCCAGAGTATGGAACTTAATCGCGCCCTACCCAGGGCGGAGGAAAGTCAACGGATGATTTTCCCCCTCTAAACAAACATTGTATCATCGATTTTAGTGGTGCAATACGCCTGAGCAATATCTATTGCTGCTGGAATTTAGTCAGGAGCACAGCGAACTTTAACTAAGTTAAAAATATCGAAAATTAAACTTTACATTATTCCGCGGACAAATACTCCGTGAAAAATATCAAGTCTTTAAAATGTTTGTTGCTTACCAACGACAGGTGAAAGGCTATTTATTTATATACAAATTTCAGATTTTAGGAAACTCAAGCTGCCTCTAAAACTATTATCACACTGTAAAAATATTAAATTAAATAATTAAAAAATAAGTTTCCTCTTAGAACATTCTCATAAAGTTATTAATAAGCTATCTGTTGCCAAATTCTTCGGTTCTGCTGAAAATCGCAGTTTGCTGATTTTTTTGCTAAACGTAGACGAAGAGGTGGGAAGTTATAATTTAATAGCCTTTAGGGTGACAAACAACCAGCCAGATTAGCTGATAGTAAGTAAGCCGCCCATGAACAGTCACAACAAGCTGCAGCGATCACCACAAATCACAAACAGTGAAATGACAGTGAAGAAAATTTTTAAAAACGTTATTAAATCGTTATTTGAAATAAAATAAATATTATGACATCTAAAAAATAAAAATAAAAGACATACAGTCAGTAAGTCTCACTATAGGTGCTATTCAAAGAATAATTCGTGTCGAAAATGTCAAATAAGTCAAAAAGGATTGGAGTTCCACACTATTCCTCTCTAATTTGTTATAATTTGCCTCATCGACCGTCAATAATTCGCATTTTTTTCCACAACTGAAGCTTTTTCAGATTGCTTATCAACAGGAATGAAATACTTTAGTCCAAAAAGTTCAGGTTTATTAACGACTTGTCTCATCTGGTGTAGTTCTTACGAAGCCTGCAGAAATAGGAGCGGTGACCTTGTCATTTTCTGTCACCATACGACAAAGTGCAAAAAAGAAATATCAAGGTCAATGACAAATGTATTTAATAACACAATCATACTATTATATACAATTAATTAAAATCAGTCAAATAATTTACAATATCGGATTTGTTACAATAATTTTAGTACTACTTGAAATCTCACTAACTTAGTTTGGATTTTTTAGTTTGAATGGTAACAGTATTTCCAAAAATTATTTTGTAAAGGAATCGAAGACTTACAAATAATACTGAAATTGCTGCTAACAGTCCTAATAGTACGGTAAACACTAATTCTAATTCGAGGTACTCTGCCCACGACATGTTGGCTGCAGGTCCTCGCAGATGTCTCGCGCCGCCATGACGCAACACATACTCCGTCCACCACACAGCACGCTCTAGTGGAGGCATAGGTTCATCTTGAAAAATGCGTCGCAATTTCGCAATATTCTCTCGATAACTGAAAATGTTATGAATTAGGGATTAGACATATTGTACATACAATAGGAATATATATTGTGATATAGTTTATATACGTATATTATTATGTTAACAATAAACATGTTTCTAATATCCGTTCCATCTTGACGAAATCTAAACGCTGATATAGACTTTACGTATTTTTTAGCAGATTGAACAATAAGAAATATTGTTTAATTCACGAAACAGAGCGGATTATTCAGAAAATAACACGTAGGTGTCATCCTTCAACGCGAAGTTGTTCGTTCGATCGAAATGAAACACGCTGAAAAACACTGATTCTGCGTTGTATTTCAATCCTTGGTCTCAACTCTTCAATTCTTGCTTGCAAGTAATGCCTCTGGTATTTGGTTTTTACGAGCGGTGCCAATTGTTAACTATCAGGTCACTCATATCTACGATAATCTGTAAAAGAAATATATTTTGATGTCCTTACCTGCCATCATTAATGACAGTGTTGATAGCATTTGTGAATTCTTCCACAGTCAGTTTTTCCATGGAAAGCTTTTTGCCAATCTTCAAGTATTCGTATCTTTCTGCATTGAAAAATTGATCTCCGAATATGGGAATGGCTACAAGAGGCACTCCTGCTGATATAGCCTCATCTGTTGACTGCAAACCAGCTTGCGTGATGAAGAGCTTGATTTTTGGATGAGCTGTACAATTAGAGACAAAATTATGAAATAAATTTTTAATCGGGTTTACGGGCATTGGATATGGGCAGGATGAAAAAGATGATAAATATAAAAGTATGGAAAGTGTTTAATGTTATTCGGTATGTGAAAAAAAAATATGAAAATAATTATTTTTATTACTGAAAAATTACCCTTACAGAACAAACGAAAAAAAATATCAAGAAGGTAGGTAGTTAATAAAAAATATTGACAAGATTTCAACAGTCAAAAGAGTGATGAATTGTTAAAGGAATTTGATTTACTTACTGAGAAGATCTGACTGTGGCAGCCATTTTGCTATCTTAATGTTATCTGTACGTCCAGGCAGAACATCATTATTCCATTTCCATAGAATATCGTAAGGCAACTGAGATAATGTTTTCACGAGAACTTCAATCCTGTCAGCTGGGAATGTAGTAGGATCCACGTTTGTACCGAAGCTTACGTATATCACGCCATTTTTAGAAGAATCCATGTAGGATTGCAGATCCTGGAATAGAAATAAATTTATTTGATTAAAAAAAACTGGTCTTTTTTATGTTAACCTTGAATTCTCAAGACTGACTAAGGATTTCAGAACCAGTTGTTATGGTAGAAGAATTCAAACATATTACAATAAAAAAAAACAGAATTACTACGATGTCCAAATAATTATTTGGTAAACCTTTTAAATAAAAAATGAAAATATTGCCAATGAAATCCTTTTTACTTTTGACGGGAATGGACGGGAAAAAATATCAAAAATGTTTTCCCTCGCACTGAGTGGAGCAGGGGGAGTGTCAGACTCTAGATTCCTTCTCCTGTTTTAAGCCGGGGCTATTTTACATTATTGCTAGGTGAAACTCTTTATTATTATGTTAAGTCATCTATTATAGTACGTTAGATAAGCTAGCAAGTTTACACGATGTTTGAATAATAGCGATTCTTATAAATACCAGACACATAGAGATTATTTTTATCAATGTACGTTGATGATAATTAATAACTTGCTTTGTCATTATACTAAACAAGGTACAGTAGAAATAAAAACAAGGATTAACCTTATTACATACCTTAAACTTGTTTAGCTGGTTTTTTTCCTGATTGGAAATTTTGATTGTAAAGATGAATCTTTCATATTACCCTTACTTATTACCGCCGTACTAAGCCGCTGTAAGTTATTTAAAAGTTCTTTACCATGTCTCTGAGTCCGGCAGTTAATCTTATATCTCTTTTCTTAATTTTTTTCGCTATTTCGTGAAGAAGTAACGTTGAACTTATGTTTAGTATACTATTTATTTAAAAAAAATATTATGACCCACTAACCTTTGGTAACGGTTTATAAGGTGCTTGATGTAAACCTCCCAAATACACCACAGAAGGAAGAACTGGTCGTATCCCTTCAAACACAGGATGCACATTTAGGAACAGCATATCCACATTATTATTTAATTCAGAAATTGAAGGAACATTTCTGAAATGCTTACGAAGCATTTCATTTTCTTTCTCAATATTTTTATCATACAATCTGTTGATCATAAAATCATTGTAGAATTCCTTAATTTTCTCAATCATAGTCAGATTATTGATCCTCTCTCGAGTGAAGGCAGGATACAGGAATGGATGTATCGGCGCACCAATATTAGGATAATTATCAAAAGTAGCAAAGAACGAACTTATTTGAATCACTGGTATTTTATAAATATGAGAAAATACTAAGGCTGGTCTCACACAAGCTTCCACGAGTAATAGATCAAATTGTTTGCTCTTATCACGTATCAAATTTTGCACTTTACTATCCTTTAGTTGAGCGTCTGCTATCGCAATTACAGCTTCCGCTATGAGATTCATTGCTTTTACCACATCATCTTTATTTTCTTTATTTGAGGTCAAGAATATTTTCCTCCATAAGTAGTAAGAAATATCATGAACGTTGATTTCAGTTAAATTAGCTGGCGCTTTTCCTTCGGGGAATGCAGGATCTGTTGTGATGACGGTGACTTCGTGACCTCTTTTAGCTAGTTCCTGTGTTAGAGGTCGAAACACTACTTGATGACTTATTGAAGGGCTCGGAAATACTGCCAAAATTCTTGCTGCCTCATCGTGTCTTGCGAATATGCTTAGACACAAAATTATATTGATATGGTATATCTTCATTATCTTAAGTGTGAATCAGAAACGAACCACTACCAACGACTGCCAACGTTACACTGAGGGTGATCCGTATGTTTTGTTATGTTATATGTAGTTTGATCCAAGACAAAAAGTGAGCTTAGCCTTCTTCAACCGACCTAGCTCATTTTTTCTAATTCAGACTATTATCTACTTTTGTGCCAATTTTAGTGTTTTCAGTATGTATGGCCCAATCCATATGGCATCCAAACTAAGACTAATAGTTGCAGTTGTAGAATTATAATTTAGTTTGTCTGACGATTTTTTACTGTTATTTTATTAATCTCAAGGTCAAAAACACTTATTCCAACCAAACTATAAACAGGCATTTTGAAACGTCAAAAAAAGACTGAGTTTTGAAAGATCTTTGAAAAGATGAACTTGTCATCATTGTTTGTTAGTTTTCCTTGTCATCATTGTCACCTTTTTCGTAGGTGTCGTAAGGGTCGACTTAAAGACATGTTGAACAGAAATCTTAAACCAGTTTTTATTGGACATTTAAAACTGTGAATTCTTACCAGCTTGAAAACCAATATATTACCGCCCTACAGGGCCTGCTAAAAAAAACTATACTGGATTACAATCCATTACATCCACCGCTAGTAGATACCCGTTTATGGGATACCATTATCTATTCGTCCAATGTCATTGCCATTATTTAGTGTCTTCATCGTGTTTAGCTGTCACTGCTTGGCTAATCCTCGATATTTCTAAGATTCAGCCCTTCTATCATATAAATTCCCTTATCTATTGTTTTCCAAAAATGTACCACTATATGTACCTTACCTTAATTTATTTATGTGTGTATTTTTCTGTGTTTATCACCTCATAACCTTTTGAATGGGTCAACTTATTTTGATAATTTGTTTAAAAAAAAACTTCCCATGTGTATTTACTACCACTAAAGTAGGTCTGTTGATACGTTTCTAGGGATATCCCGTGGAGCTTTGCAGTTACGAACGACCCGATTTGAGTGAAATCGAAAGACAGTCATGGGATTTGCATAGTTGACTGCAATATGCTACAGTAATAACTTTGGTGTGTTCGTAAACACACCTACGATATAAGAAAAAATCTTAGTAATTCCATGTAAAAAAGTCCTGCACGATTATGTCTTGGCACATGTGATTTAAACTTAAATTTTTTACTCGATTCTACTAATATTATAAACTAGCTTCAATATGAGGCTTCGCTCGCGTTGATAAAGTACAAATTTGAGCTTACCGTTCTGTGACAAAGGTTTGAATTGTGTGCGTTAATTTCCTATTGTAAAGACCCCTTAGAATACTGAGTTTCTATTTCTTAAATACAGAAGGTATATACGGTATCACATATCTAAATACCAAACTTTAACCACACTGCTCCAGCCGTTTTCGCATGAAATAATAATAAACATACACAAATTACATACATTCTCACAAACTTTAACATTTGCAATATTAGGATTTTTTTTGGAGTTGGATGTAGCTTGGATATAAATAACTTAGGCTGTTATTTATCAACAACCCACTGGCAAAACCACGGGCGCAAGGTAGTCTCATATATTTTGCTGGGCATTTAGTACTGAAATTCAGTGTCAAAACATTGTGCAATACCTACTTTAATTAAGAAGTAGAAACTCATCACTTGTAAGTATTTTTATGATAGGAAATTAATCCACACAATTTTCACCTATGTCACAGAGTGATAAGGTTGAATATGTAATGATATTTAGCCTAAAGGCTTGTTTTGTTATTAATCAATTACATTACAATTAATATTATCATAATATTTGAATGCATCATGTAAAAAAACGCTCTATCATTACTTCATATCGCTTTACAAGTTATCGATAACACCTCTGATATGTAACTAAAATTAGAAAGATATAAATATTATCAATACTCAAGGTTTTTCTGGAGGCACCAAATCTTATCTTAAGTACAAATCAATTGTGTGATCTATTCCTTGTTCATAAAATTGAATATACGATAACAATATTGAGTACATACGTCCTTCGTTATTCTAACATAAAGCGCAACATGTGAATGAACATGGGTAAGACGAAGATCATGTTGAATGCCCATTTTATGGCCTACCAGATATTAGTTGTGTGTGTGACATTCGAAATTGCCAACGAAAATGTAAACCTGGGAGAGGTAGTCCAGTTCGGTCACTCTTGTCTTCTCATCCAGCATACCTCAGAGCCTCAAGATGAAAGTCTATTATTTGTTTAAGTGATTTCACGATCTAATAGAACCAGTCTGTTACAGTGAGCCTTATAAAATAAGCCCAAGGTCACTCAGCGCGCTTTGGAACGGGTAAAGTTTGGTGTTTCTTCCTGGCATCGAACCATAAAGGAGCTTCGCAATCGTGGAAAAGTCGCTGACATAGTGAAGTGGCAGTCACCAGAACACATAGTATTATGCTGAAGAAAAGGCGGCTGCTGAGGCCAAAGAAAACTTCGAATCAAGGTATGTTCCGACAACCGCAATTCAGGTTGCAGGGAATCGCTGGATGCAGATATCTTTCAGCTGGCTTACCTAGAAATAATTGGGGGAGATCTATGTTCATCAGTGGACATCTTGTGATTATGATGATGATGATGATTGTGATTATGATCCTACTAATATCATTAGTGGGATTTGAAGACAAATGTAATCAGAGGGTTTTTCAATCCTGGTAATTCAAGACAAAATAGTATATCAAAAGGGGCACGAGCGTTCGCTTGATGACTTAAACAAAGTAATTTAAAATTAATACTGGCTCTCAAACAAAATGTATAATTTTATTTATGTGATGGTAAGCAACACCATGAGAACCACTGACTGGAACGTCACTAGACTTTAAAAAAAGAGTACGTTCATTTTTTTTATGTACATAATAAATATAAAAATAATCCAAATTTACTTTGGTTAAATCATTGAGAGAACGGCTGAATCAATATTTAGGATTGTGTGTTGCATGTACGCTTTGTTTTCTAAGATAATTAATGTTCTCATTGAAGAAAATATTATCAAACTAGAGGTTAACACCAGGAAATAGCAACCATTGCGATACTGTGACGGAAGGAAGATTTCCTAACTACCTAAAGAAAGCTGTTATAAAGCCAATCCACAAAAAAGACTCTAAAACCGACCCTTCTAATTACCGCCCTATTGCTCTTTTACCTACAGCCTCGAAAGTATTTGAGAAAGCCATGTGTAATCGCGTCTATTCCTTTTGTGAAAAATATAAAATTTTTAATGAATCCCAGAATGGTTTCCGTAAAAACCACTCTACCATTCGAGCAGTATATAACTTTATCCAGGAAGCCATTAATATAATCGATAAGAAAAAATATGCCGTCGGTATACTGTTAGACATGACAAAAGCTTACGATAAAGTTCAATTTGACATCCTACTTAACAAGCTACAAGAAATAGGGATCCGTGGAAAACCTTATGAATGGTTCAAATCATATTTGGAAAATAGAGAACAACAAGTCGAAATAGAATACTACAACGAACATGCTAAACAAATCCAACACATCCGGTCAGAAAGTAAACAAATTAATGCCTCCATCCCCCAAGGGACTGTTATTGGATGCCTACTGTTTATAATCTACATAAACGACCTCCCTACAATCATAAATGAGTCATGTGTTCTATTTGCCGATGATATCTCGATACTAACTTCTTGTCATGATAATACCAACCTAACCGGAGTACTTACAAATATATTCAATAAGATAATAACATGGATGACAAAACATAACCTTGAAATAAATTTAAAAAAAACTAAAATCATGACCTTCCACCCACATCAGAAAACGCCTTTAGATATAAAATTTATTTACAATAATACAAAAATAGAAACCGTTAAAGAATTCAACCTACTCGGCCTATCCATAGATACAAATTTAAATTGGAAATCACACATTAAAAAAATCAAGTCTAAGTTGTCAAAATTTGCCTACGCCCTCAGTGAAATAAAAAAATCAACAAACCTCTCCACTGCTCTGGTTACATATTATGCCTATGCATACGCATGGTTGAACTACGGCATAATTTTATGGGGAAATAGCACAGACGCACAAACACTTTTCATACTCCAAAAACGACTAATTAGAATACTAGTTAACATAGACAACAAAGAGAGCTGCAAACCCCATTTCCAAGAACTCAAACTTCTAACACTACCCTCTATATACATCCTGGAAATGTGTAAATTTGTTAGAAATAACGAAAAACTTTACATTACACGCGAAAACACACAGACTCACTACACCCTACGACACAAAAATAGACTAATCCTACCAGGTTCTAAGCTAAAAATACACTCCACAAGCACTTTAGTAATGGCAGGTAAAATCCAAACTAATATTATAAATGCGAAAGTAACTCTGTCTGTCTGTCTGTCTTTCTGTCTGTCTGTCTGTCTGTCTGTCTTTTCTTCACGCCTAAACTACTGAACCGATTTGTGTGAAATTTGGTACAGACATAGTTTGAAACTTGAGAAAGGACATAGGATAGTTTTTATTACAAAAAATAAAAATAAAAAATAAAATTTATTACGGACATACAGCGCCATCTATTGGTCAAATGTCGAGCTGTTCCTATGCTCCATAGATAGATGGCGTTAATCGCGCAATAGTGTCATTACACGTGTTCGGTTCATGTTATTGTTTTAATTCATCGGTAAATCCATCAGAAAAATGTAAATAAATAGTAAAAAGGTGTAAAAAATTAATATTAACATAATAAAAGTTTTACTACAAAGAAAATGCGCTAACGGAGTATAGATAATTCTATTAGTACTACGCGCAATGGTGTCGATCGTTACACGAGTTCGGTTCATGTTATTTTTTAATTCATCGGAAAACAGTTAATAAATAGTAAAAAGGTATGAAAAAAATAATATAACAATATAATACTACTTTTAGTACAAAGAAAATGCAAGAACGGAGTATAGATAAATAATCCGAGTTGTCACTATGCTCGATAGATGGCGTTGGGATCGAAATA